ATAAATCAGGTTGGTTTGTATTGCTGACGTAATATGTAAATGATATGTGTGCGGCCCGCGAGACTTGCACTTGGACCATAGTGCGGCCCGGTGGAAAAAAAGGTTGAGAACCACTGGCCTATATATAAAACATAGAACTTTTATTAACAAAACAAATAAAAATACGCCATGCTATAGGGCAGGCTATGCCTAATATAAAATAACAAATAACTTACATAAAGTTTAATAGGTATACAAAACTGGAAATAAGTAAACATGTATAATATATAAGCAAATAAATAAGAAACGTAGAACGTTTATTAACAAAACTAATGTCAAATAAAATAAATAAATGACAGTTTAAATAAAGTAAAAATCAGCAAACAATGTGGAACCAATTAAATAAACAAATGTTAAAAAAAACTTCCAAAATCACCTGATAAACGGCAAAAGTCAACAGGCTTTTCTAAATCATCCGCGATCGTCTTGTCTGTCTCACCTCACTCTTCTTGTCAGTCAGCTCGACTCACTCTCCTCACTGGAGAAATTAAATCGGATCTGTGATGCGACTGTCGTTCGGCACGCTGCATTGAGCAGCCGCGTTCAGTTTTTAATTGTAGTGTCTGTTCTTTTACTGAACGAAATGATTTTTATTACTATAAAAATCTAAACGACGGTGTGGGTCGGTGACGCGGTGAGCAAGTGACGTAACCGGTGTTGAGGCTTAACACCGGTATCACCGTCAGCACCGTCTATCGCTGCAAGCCTAATGTAGAGATGCACGGCCGAAAATAGCAAAAAAAGCTCTTTCGGTGTTTGGGAACAAACAAAAAGACTGAATAAATTGTATTTTTGGTGACGCGATCAAATGGCAACCAGCGTTGAGTGAGACGCACGCACTCTTTATAATGCAGCACACATGTCGGCAGTGCGGAAGCATTCAAAACTGTCCGAGAAAGACACAAAAATCATTACGAGCACTGATAGCAAAAGACTGTTTAGCACTGCTTTGCATGTCTTCGATGAGAATAGGAAGGGGTGGTTGTTGCCGGTTACTGTATGATAATTGAAATCGCGAAATGGCCTTAAACAATTAGTAAATAAACTGCAGAACGTTACGTTTTCTAATACACGCACAAATTGCTTGTATAACAGTGTTGCATGAGCTCGCGGAGCTACCTGCTTGTTAGCCAGGGTTCAAAGTCCAAAGCGGATCGGTCATTTTCTAATGTTTTAAATAACGTTTCTACTCCGCAAGGTTGCATTTATTTGTACAGTAAAAATACAAAAACAGTAATATTGTGAAATATTATTACAATTTTAATTAACTTTTTTATGTGAATATATATATAGTAAAATGTAATTTGTTCCTGTGATCAAAGCTGTATTTTCAGCAGCATTACTCCAGTCTTCAGTGTCACAGGACCTTTCAGAAATCATTCTAATATGCTGATTTGCTGCTCAAAGTGTTCAGTTTTCTTTTTTTTTTGTCTTTAGCCAATCACATGCCTGATTTAAGAAGGGGGTCTCAAAAATGGCCAAAAATACTGTTATTTTACTAACTTATTAATTTTAAGTTAAATTGTGCTTTGTTGGTATTATGTCTGCTAGCATGTTAAAAAATGTTCAGCGATAAATATTCTTAAACTGTTGTTTTGTAATAGATTTTTTCTTTGAAAATCAAAAACAGTAAAAAAAAGCATATTTTGGCTATTTAATTTATGTCATGGTGAAACAAATTAGCAAAATACATGGGGGTAAAAACGTGAAAAACCGTGTTCAGTATTCGGCCTTCGGCACAGTGTTTCATTTTGTTTCGCCTTTGGCTTTGGCCAAGAATTTTTGTTTCGGTGCATCCCTAGGAGAAAAGGCTATGGGCCAATCGGAGTGTGTAAAGTCACAATGCTAGAAGTCATTGAGCGATTTATGTGTGAGCTAATAGGTTCTTCTGCATTTCTACATAGAAAGACAATCTTGCAGGCTTGTTGTGATCTCTTTCTCTCCTTACCTCTGGTTACAAAGCTGACAGGCAAAACAGTCCAAATGGTAAACATTATCTCTGGCCCTCATCACCATTTCAAAGGCTGGGATCAGTTTACTGCAGGCTGCACAGTTACCCGTTGTACCAAAGAGCCTGTGAGAGAAAACACAAAAAGCAGATTTACTCACTTATACCTTTCTTAGCATTTATGAAATCCCGCAACAAACCGAAAAAAGGAAAGAAAACAACCGAAGAAGTGGGAGGAAAAAAAAACAAAAAAAACACACATTGGACATCTAATGCGATGCGTGAATCCAGCTTGGCACACAATAGGTATTTTTTTGTTAATGAGGGTACAAACCTAGATGTTAATTCTTAGCTAATGATCTAATTAAAATGATCACATGGTTCTAATCCCCTTCTTCAAAGAGTTTTTGCCTAGCACACTGCAAAAGCAATGAAAACAGGTCTGAGGCAAGCAATTGAACTGCTCAAAGTTTTTTTTTCCTCTCTCTTTTAAATCCAGAGTAACTAATGAGACTTTGCTCAGACCAAAGCCAGCTGGATTTTACACAAGAGGCTAAATACTATAATGTAGTCAAAAGTTCAAAAGATTCCCCTCGCAAGGATACTGCCTCTATCCTCCGTACCTCTCCTCTCATTCTCCTTATTTCTCTGTGACCTGCTAAAAGCAGAGTGAGATGTAGAGGGAGTGTTGTGAGGTACGTAACCTTGGAGAGGTAAGTAGATGCTCACTGGAGCACAGAAAGGGACACACAACTCGCATTTCTGCGCTGTTTGTTTAAGCTTATTAGATGGGACGCAAACCACCAAGGTCACAAACAGAACAAGACATCGAGGCAGATCGCTTTCCTCCACTACATCCGCCGTCGGATTTACATTTTCATTTTCAAAGCCCTTGCTCCAATGTTTAATTTGGAGATTCAGAGTCGGAGTTATAGATATATACGTTTGGCAGAACAGGGATGCTATGCACACAGGAAGAGCAAATGGAGAAGAACAGGGGGAGGAAAAGGGGAAAAATAAGGCAGGATCAGGATGCGGCGGTATGCTAAACACCCCTCTAAAGTGGAGGACTCGGTTGGAGAGAGAGGGAAACTGAACAAAGTTGCGGCGAGTCCATATTAGTCTCTCTCGACTGCTTGCCCTGCGTCACCACCAGCATCTATCCAGCAGACCCTGCTGTTAATTAGAGCAACAGACCTGAGCGGAGAGGAGTCTTATGGTGGGAGAGGGCATGTTGTTATATCAGATAGGCGAGGTGTTAAAAAGAGCCATTGTTAGATCGGGTTACTGCTCCAGTAAAATGTGTTTATGTGGAACTCTAACACTCTGAGGAGGCCGTGCAACCCCAGCGAGCTGTTGCCTCACAAAAGAGTTCAGCTTATTAAAATAATGGTTCAAGTGCAGCTTTGTTCCAAGGTCAGCATAGAATCTGTGAGAAACTAACTCATAATTGCACATACAACTTATACTTCACATTTTACAGTTAAACTTTAAATTAGTATCCGTTACACATCACGCATAGAATTGGATTAGTAATCATAGTAAGTGTATTTACAAACTGCTCAGCTGTCCAGTATGTTGTCAGTATTTATAGTGTATCATTATATAAAGAACACTATTGTATTCCATTTTTTATTGGTAAGGCTATTGGTAATCTAAGTATTGGTAAAGATTCACAAGCTCTTGATTTAATTTTCATTTGATTCATTTTGGTATATTTTAGTTATATATACACAGCAGAAATTCTCACTTGGCTAATGTTGTAAATTATTCAGGTGTGTAATAAATTGAGCATTATTCCAACAAAATTATTCAAACCGCTAACTTGACTTTTTGAACTGTTCATTTAAAAGAACCAGCTTATAAGAGTCAAGTTGTTTTGATTCAGTAAAATGAACTGACTCATAAGAGTCATTTGTTCATGAATCAGACTACACCATTCATGCAGTATTTTTAGTAATCAGTAAAAGAACTGGCTCATAAGACTCATTTGTTTGTGAGTCAGACTACACTAATTATGCTGTATGCTTTTTGTTCAGTAAAAGAACTGGCTAATATGAGTCATTTGTTTCAGAAACCAGGCTAGACTGGTTATTAGGCCTGGGTATCGAGTTCGATACTTTTTAGGCACCGACCGAATTGCCTCGATACCATCGAGTATCGAAAAACGTCTCGTTGTTCGGTACCAAATTTCAATACCTAAGGGGTTAATCTCATCAGCATCAGTGAGCCAATAAGCCTGCAGCACTAGCCGGTGTGTTCGACTAGAAG